CTCTGGGACAAAAAATACTTCAAAATGCACAGTGTAAGGCCCTGAAGTACGGCTGTGCTTGGCCTTCGTGTGAGAAAAGTCAGCAGAAACAGACCACCGAGGCACTGGCACACTTCAGGTGGGTTCACCAGAGCAGGATTCAGTCCCCTCCCACAGCAGCGGCGTGCACCACCCTGGCTCTCTCACAGAAACCGGCTAGTGCGGGAAGGAGTTTAATAGAGAATGAATAAGAATTAAATAGAATAATGCCTGTTGACTTGACTTTATCCAGAAAGACACTCTGTGGTAGGTAAAGGGCTGCACCATCCTTTACTGGACAAGCACCAGAGAAAGAACACAATGTAGACTCGTCTCATATGCAAAACTTCTAAAACTTTAATACTTGTTAATTCACCTCTAACAGATAGCTCTTACAGAATGTGTAGCATGAATACACTTGAATGAAAATGGCAAACTAGTAACTAGTGTTTTCAGGCTTTGATGAGCGAAGTGTAGAATTGAGAAATCACAGCACATTTACAGAAGAAAAAGTATTTGCAACTTCCAAGTTATTAACAGGTAATACATTTTTGTAAATATTGTGGCACAGTCAGCAGTTAAATCGCCTAATAAATTTTAACATCTTGCCACCTTGATGTGCCTCCAGTAGATGCTGAAAACAAACTTTTTAATATAATTCCCAGAAGTATCTCTGCTCTCAATCTAACTACAGACAGGTTGCTGGGGCTGTGTGTGTTCCCTCCCTCACCCACGGCAGTGGTACATTAACATATGGATCAGACATTTGCTAATAACTAGCACTAAGCTGAGGTAATAGGTTAAGAACAGTAGCATCAGCATACCGTTTGCTAATTGGCATTTGCCTTCCAAACCATAAAAAGCAGATATTATCTTAGTTTACATTTGGCAACGGTATAAATTAGAAAACTTCCATTTGGAAAAATCCTACATTACAGGGATACCACCTCTAAATCCTTTGTGATGAGTCTTAGTAGCCCTGTTAGTCATTTTAAGACACATAACACAGTTTCTACAGTTTGGGAAAGAAATTAACTGTTCATCCAAAGCTGCCTCAACACGTGTTCTACTATAAGTAGAGGAAAGAAACAACTGAAAAATACAACAGACATGGTAGAGAAGACTCAGGCAAAGGAAAGCACTGCTAATCCACTACTGATGCCAGTCTGGGTGCAGGGAGGAAAGAGGCGGTTTGGATAACACACAGTACAACTGGCAGCCCTCAAGCTGCTCCCTGGTTTCATACTCCTGGTCCACAATTTCTGCACAGGTTGGTGGGTTTCTTTCCTCTCAGGAACTGACAGGCCAGCGCTCTCAGGTCTCTGCGTCCCCAGGCTGCTATTCAACAATCTCTGGGGGTGTCTCTCCTCTCCCCCTCGGGTTACCAGAAGGATCTCTTCTCCTCTGCTCTCTCCCAGGTGCGCCGCAGGAGGTAGACGGCGGCGTGCAGGCCCCCGACGTTCACCCACACAGTCTGGCCCTTGCGCCAGAGGTGTCCCAGCCGCGACAGGGCCTGCGGGCCAAACACAGCCAGACAGTTGTGGCGGCTGCCAGGTGAGACACTAGAGGTAAATATGCTCTAGAAATTACTCCTGACTATTCTAAATCACATCTGATGGCAATGTCAAATGATTCCTCAGGTCCAAAACTGTTTAAATGTTATTAATTATTGCTCTAAAAATAGACCATAGAACCATTTGGGTCGGAAGGGACCTCAAAGATCACCCAGTTCCTACCCCCTGCCATGGGCAGGGACACCTCCCACTAGACCAGGTTGCTCAAAGCCCCATCCACCCTGGCCTCAAACACTTCCATCCTCTGTGTTGTGGCTTACAGTTTTTTCCTCAATGTATTTTCAAGTGAGTAGCTGTGACATTCCCAGGGACACACCTTGGCAAAGCATTTCTTGTCCTGTGTAAGCAGCACGGCCCGGCCGGTCCCCGGCGTGCAGATCCGGCCCATCTCCGTCAGGCAGGCGGGGTAGAGGTCCCAGTTCTTCTTCTTTGACCCTATCCTGCAAAATAAGCCAGCGTCCCCTTTGTGACTGCTGAAGAACAGCGAGCTGCCCCTGGTGTGTCAGACAGGCCCGGCTGAAGCAGGACCACGCTGACTGTGTCAGCCTGCAGGCCCAAGGTGCTCCGCCCGGCCCGGCGGCGGCTCAGGCCCACGTCAGCCCCGGCCCCTCACCTCTTCCCAAACGGCATGTCCGACACGATGATGATGACGTCCACGGAGCCCGTGCGCAGAGGCAGGTTGCAGATGTCCCACTGGATGATGTCCAAGGGGATGCCCAGGGAGGTGCCGCTGCAAGCGCAAAGGCTCCACCTCAGACACGCTGGACTGAGAGCGTCTCTGAGCTGAGTCTGTCATCACAGGAGCAAAACAAAACATGAAGGAGACAGGCAAAGGCATCGATGCAAGTGGACTCCTTTACCTACAGCACTCTGCTCACCTCTCCTTGCTCTCGCCTTTCTTTAGCAAAGAACAGATGTTGTTTGCTGCTCTCTTTACAGCCTGGGGGTTGTTGTCACCAGCAATATGATAGCAGCTAGGCCACTCCGCAGCTCCCTGTGGGCAACACGGGTCAGAAGCAGCACCAGCACAACATTGTTTCATTTAGAACAAACAGAATTACTCCAACGTGGCAGAATACAACAATGCAAGTGGAAGCCAATGATTTGTAAAGTCTGTAACAGCTGTTAGAGGGATTATGCACCTTAAAAGCTCAAAATAGTCTTGGATTTAGCTTCCTCCTGATGTAGCTTTCACAAGGAAAACAAGGTCCTTTACAAAAATTGTGTTTGTTTAGAAATTGGTGAGATACTTCTGGAGTTTGCTATGCAGTTATTACCAACAAAACGTGCACGTATTGAGGGGCTGCAGCCACTGTGGGGTTTGGTTCAGTCAGTAAATAAAGGAAGAATCACCTCTATGGGAATCGCACCCGTGCCGCACATGGGATCAACTATGATATCTGTGGGCTGGGGATCACAGAGCCTGAGGAACACAGAGAAGGTCTGGTGAGAAGTCTGAAAACAGGAGTTTCCGTATGGAAAGAAAGCTGAACTGTTTGAATCACTGTCATTCTACTCTTTGACAAAAAAAACCCTATGTGATTATTTTTTGCATTTGTTAATTAGCATTTTATATTGTAATACTGTGAAATACTTGCAACCATGTGATACAGCATTTTGTAGATTGGCTAACGCAGCAAACAGCAGGAAAACACCCTCTGTTCACTCCAAAGCACACTGCTTCAGCAACTATGCTCTTCCCTCCCCTCCCCAACTTTTTCTTTTAATTTTTAATAATAAGAAATGGCTTTTGAGGAAGCACTAGGGGTTAAAGGACTTAATTTCTGAAACAAAATGACTCATGCAATCGCACTGACCTAAGCATGCCATAGGCAAGAGTTGAACGAAGAGTTGTGGGTCCAAAGTGTGTAATGTTTCTTCTGTGAAGGCTCTCTTCAGTCAATGCAATGCCCACAACTACTTCATTGTTGTGAATATTCAGAAGAACCTAAAGAAAAAACTTGAACTAAATTTCAGGAGTAAGAGAATTTTTCTATAGTATGCCTGGTAAATATTTATGAGAATCTTTAGATGTTAACTTAAGAAACTGGAACACTATGTAAAAGAGGATTCCTGGAAGAAAAGCAATGCACCGTTTTAACAGCAACAGGGGACAGAATTCAGAAGAGCACTCGGGTGTTCTCCTTCCTGCAGAACAAGGAGCACCCTCCCTTGCCCACACCACGCCCACCCCCGGGCCGTGCCGGTGGAACACGGTACCTCCACGTCGAAGTCAGTCATGTCAGCCTTCCACTGGAAGTGCTCCTGCACGGCGCCGCCGAAGTCCCTGGCGGCCTCGTTGGAGGTGAAGCTGTGCTTGTCTCCTGCTCTGTTGCAGGTGACGCGGAACTTGAGCACCTTGGGCTCGCTCCCAGCGCCCG